TGGTTTCATATATTCACCAAATGTAAAAAGAGTCAGTTCCCTTCTTTACTCTTTGATTTTTCAGCAGGTAGTTTAGTTGACATGGGAAAGTGTTGTTTGATTCATTCCTTTTATTCATTTTCAAGATAATGAATTGGTTCCCTGCAATTCTAAGATGATAAATAAATACTTCTTTTAAATAGAACATCATTTTAAGTTTATGTATTAAACATGGCTGGAGCGATAGCACAGCAGGTAGGGTGTTTGCCTTGCATGCGACCGACCTGGGTTCAATTCCTCCGTTCCTCTCGGAGAGCCCAGCAAGCTACTGAGAGTATCCCGCCCACATCACAGAGCCTGGCAAGCTTCTCTGGAGTACTCGATATGCCAAAAACAGTAACAAGTCTCACAATGAAGACATTGGTGCTCGCTGCAGCAAATCGATGATCAATGGAATGACAGTGCTACAGTGCTATTGTGTTAAACATACTTGGTAGACTTCAGTATATTGTAATTCTTTTTTTTTTTGAAAGTTAAGTTCTCTCTTTGGCCACTAAAAGTCTCTTTTTTCCCCCCTTTTGTTGTGGCCTTTGTAGTTTTTATCAATCTAATACTTTCATTTATTTTTCAGTTATCTTGTGTATTTTCTGCTACAGACCTGAAATCAACTGTTTCTTCAGAAGCTTTGATTCTTTTACAGACAAGAGATATTTCAGAACCTCAACCTGTTATTATTCTTTTTTCTCTTTCTATGAAAGAAAATAAGTGAAACAAAGAAGAGAAGAAAAATGAAGAAAGAAGGAGAGGAGAGGGGAGGGAAGAGCAGGAGAGGAGAGAAATAAGACCTGTTGTTACTAATTCTTATTACACTAGCTTGGTTATTATGTCTGGGTCTTTTAGGTTTACCGTGTTGGAAATTATATTCCCATATGTTCTCTTTTTAGAGGATTTTTGTTTGTTTATGGGCCACACCAGGCGATGCTCAGGGCTCACTCCTTGTGGGGCTCAGGGAACCAAATGAGGTGCCAGGGATCGAACCCAGGTCAGCAGTGTACATGTACCATTTCTCCAGGTTATGTTTTTATTAGAGTAATTTTATTTAGGTGGACTTAAAGAATTATAGAATGATAATATCTTGTAATTGTTTTAATCCCATATTGTATTTCAGAAGTTAATTATAATATCAGTTTTTCATGGTAAAAATATGCTAATGTTATTCATATCCCGTATTACATTTTTTTCAGATAGTTAGTAATTGCAGTATCACCACATCAGTTATGTGTTTTAAAAAATTGTTGACGTTATAATTCCTTTGATTTATTTTAAAGATTTTCCTGAATTTATATTGTCAAATCAACTTGCTACTACTTACTATAGTTACTTTCTTTAGTCATCATTTATTCTTAGTTCCACTGGGAACTATATGTACTCTCTTTATAAGTCTTTATGATCAGAGATTACCTGAGAATTGGGTTCTGTAAGGGAATGTCAAGTAATACAGTATACATTGATGCTCAGAGTGGGACAACAGACAAGGCACAACAGTTATTTCATTAACTTTGATTCACGATGAGGTAAGAAATTGAGTATTAGCCTTTAGAAAATTTCATAACAATTTGCAAAAAGTTTGTCATAGATATGTTTCGCAGGAGTGTTAGTAACAAAAAAATTGGAAATTTAAACAAGGCAAGCAAACATAATTATTCCTTGGCCATAGACAGTTTATCCTAGTTAGTTATTATTAGCCTGTCATTGCCATATAGCTCTTAGTAATTAGGTACATACACATCTTGGCAGTAATGCGGGTTTGGTTCCAGACCATGACAATAAAGTTGTTATTGCAATAAAGCAAGTCAAAGAAGGGTTTTTTTTTCCCCCTTTTCGTCGAGGGAGAAGGGGAGGAGTAGAGGGAGGAAGAAGGAGGGAGAAGAAAGTAAGTCATAGAAGTTTTTGATTTCTCAGTGTATATAAATTTTATATTTACCCCATGCTGTACTCTGTTGTGTGTACAATAGTCTAAAAGGTTGTACATAGCTTAAATTTAAATTACTTTTTTACTTAAAAAATGCTAAGTATTCTTTGAGCTTTCAGTGATTAAAAGCTTGTGGAATAGCTTATTTGTTTCCGGTTGACTTTTTGGTTTGGTTTAGTTTGGTTTGGTTTGGTTTTAACAGCAGTGTTCAGGGCTTATTCCTAGCTCTGCATTAAGGGATCACTCCTCAGGACTTGGAAGATAATATGGGGTACTTTGATCCTGGGTCAGCTGCTTGCAAGTGTCCTATCCACTGTGCTATCACTCTGGTCCCAGTAGAGTTTCTTAAAGTACATGTATCTTCTATGCACAGTAAAGTGAAACACAAAAAACCAAGGGTATTTCAGGTAACTCTTCTAAGAGACAGGTTAAATATATAGGAGAGAAATTTACATGTGAACTAATGAAAGTTTCACCGAAGGGAAAAAAGAAGAGATCTCTATGCTTTGGTTTGAATCATCAAAGAGTGATAAAAGGATATAAGAACAGCATTAGGAAAACCTAGAATTATGGGTACACCAATACATAATGGAACTGGTCTGACAAGAACCAAATGGTTTTTATTAAGGATAAAGTACAGATTAAGTGGGATGGTATGGCACAGAATGGTTTTTTTTAAGACCTTCCAATGTCAGGTTAAACATAGTCCTCTAACTGGTAAGTATCTGTTCCATAAATGAGTACAAAGCACTTTTGTGCGCTCAAGAATTCAGTAGTAAACAAAGTAGAAGCCCTATACTTTGCTACTTAAGTTCTAGTGAAAAGAAAAAATATATTAAATAATTTGCTATGTGTTAGTGTGTAGGTGATAAGAAAAAATGCAAAGTAGGTATTTTTAAGCGAGGAGGAAAACATACCTTTTTTGTACATCGAAATTAACAACATTGTATTAATTGCTTCTTGTTTTTATATTCTATTTGTTCACCTCTGAGTACTCTTTGAGAACTATCACTTCAGTTTGAATAACTAAAATTTAAGATTTTGTGTTCCTAGAGATACATAAACCTTTCTTTAAAAAAAGTTTTTCATTATTATAGCAGCTTAATTGCTTTATCTGTTTATTGAGTTTTGTATGTCTCTTTAATGATACTGATTTTACAGGCTCGGTGGTACTTGAGAGTAATCTCCTTTTGTATTTGTAGTTCTCTTGATAAATGCTCTTATCTCTAAATTTTTTGGGGAAAGGAATGGGAATTTGTTAGGTAAATATTGTTAGGTAAAATATGCTATAGTTTGCGGGTTCCAGAATGGGATTATTTATTCCTTCTGGAAGTCACTCTAATTCTCTCTTCAGTGTCTACACTTTTAACTGTTTCAAACAGGTTGCACACTTCTGTGTCCTGTATCTCAATCAGAATAAGTAAGGATCATGGAATTGGTAGGAGCATTTAAGTACCCTCTCTCTCTCTTTTTTTTCCTCTTTCGTCCATTGTCTTTTAATTTGTATCTCCTGACTTCTACCTTCTATAGAACTTTCTCTTTCATGTGTGGTTAAGGCTCTGGTTTTATATATAACTTTTTTTCCTGTAAACTTGATCTTACCCTTTTTATTTCTTTACATTTAAAAAAAAAACAACTTATCTGGCAAGCTACTCATGACGTACTTAATATGCCAAAAATATTAACAAGAAATTTCACAGTGGAGACGTTACTGGTGCCCACTCGAGCAAATCTGTGAGCAACGGGAAGAGAGTGCTGCAGTGCTATAGTCTATTGATTATATATTTTGAACGTTACATTTTGTTTTCAAGTGTTATATGCTTTCTGCCTTTTTTCATGTACTCTCTCTGACTCTGAGATTGGAAGCCCCACGGGAATTTAGCAGCACATATTAAATGTCTTATCTTTAGAAACTGTCCTGTTGATCCAGAGTGCTAATTGTTGACCTTCAAAAAAATAACACGAGGTTCGGAGCATATGCTATGCTTACGGTAGTCCTGGCTTTTGGTCCCAAGCACCAGATGATTTCTTGAGCATCTTTGGGAATAGCCATCAGCACTGCTGGTTATACTTCGCTACACCCCCTCACCCCCCACCAAACCCTCATAAAAATGACTTGAGAGTTAAACATCTGGGGCAGGGAAGTGAATTTGGACTCTGATAATAGTGTACAGTTATTGTGCTAATTATTGCTAAACATAACAGGTAGCCAGATAAATTATACAGGCTCATGCTTGACCACTTTATTATATGTTATCAACCCTACTTGGTCCTTCAAAGTTCCTGAACGCTTCCTAACTTCCCAACAGTTTTTCTCATTTCATGTGCTTCTTTTTTTTCATGTTATAGAATTATTTGAAACACTCTTTTATTACCAGTTTTTTTTTCTGAAATCCAAACTCTTTATTACATTTTTATGATTCACTGTATTTGTGCAGTGATTGGGTATAAATCATTTTAGAACTGAAATGACGATACTAATTCATCACTGTACAGGACAAGAAGGCCTTTGATTCTTATCCCAAAGAATTATTTCCGATTAATAAACTTTAGGGGATCCTGGGACTGGAGCGGTAGCACAGCGGGTAGGGCGTTTGCCTTGCGAGGGGCCAACATGGCTGACCTGAGTTCGATTCCTCCGCCCCTCTCAGAGAGCCCGGCAAGCTACCGAGAATATCTCGCCTGCATGGCAAAGCCTGGCAAGCTCCCCATGACGTATTCGATATGCCAAACACAGTAACAATTGTCACAATGGAGACGTTACTAGGCCCGCTCAAGCAAATCGATGAACAACGGGAGGACAGTGACAGTGACAGTAGGGGATCCTGAAATCATTTTGCCATAGAGTAATGAATCCTCATAATTGTGAGATTTGTTTTATTTGATATATGTCCATTATTTTTATGAGGTAGCAAAGGCCGTATATATTTTTAAATATTATGTATCAGTTACTGTTCAAAGTGTTGCAGTGTTTTAACACTTTCATTTTTTATAACATTTTTAATAATTAAAGCCTATTATTTTAGATTTGTTTTCTTTTTTTTTGAAGGATCAAAGTAATAATGAAATTATGATTGGAGTGATGTCAGGAGGAATTCTGATTTATAAGAACAGGGTACGAATGAATACCTTTCCATGGTAAGAATGTTAATACTTTTACTATTATATTACCAAGTATGATCATTTATATTAAGGAAAATGACTATTGAAGTATTTAATAATACTGTTGTATAACTTTAGCTTTGCCTCACTTACTTGAAATATTCACTTAAAGTATTCACTTAAAACTGATGTATTTCATTGTATATATAAATCTTCTGTGAAGCTTATAAAAGCAAATTAAAAATTTACTGTTTTATCAGTCCAGCACTGGGGTCCCCAGAGTGACACCTGGTGGTGTGTGGTGTCCAGATTCAAACTCCAAACTTTGGGCATGCAAAGCATGCTTCCTTAACTACTGTGTTTTCTCTCTCTGCTCCCCAAATTGCTTTGGGGGGTGTTTTTCAGGGGCAGCCCCCCTTTTTTTAGAGGGGTGGGCCATACACTGCAGTACTCAAGGGGTTACTGTTGGCTCTACAATGAGGAATTATTTTTGACTGTTCCTGGGGGGTGCTGGGGACAGAACCAAGGTTGGCCATAACAAGTCAAGACCTTTTACCTACTGTACTATCTCTCCAGCCTAGGGACAGACTTTATTGACTATGTCTCTAATGATTATTATATTTCTGTTCTTGGTCTACATCTATTAGTGCTCAGAAATTACTCCTGGCTGTGCACTCAGGGATCACTTCTGGCAGTCTGGCAATGTTTAGGAGACCATATGGGATGGTGGGTGGGATGCTGGGTATCAAACTTGGGTCAGCCATGTGCAAGGCAAATGCTCTATCCTCTGTAACGTTCCTCTGGCCTCTTATGAGATTATTTTTAAAGGATGAATAGCACAGTGGGTAGGGCATTTGCCTTACACGTGGCCGACCCAGGTTCAATTCCTCTGCCCCTCTCAGAGAGCCCAGCAAGCTACTGAGAGTCTCTCGCCCGCACGGCAAAGCCTGGCAAGCTACCCGTGATGTATTTGATATGCCAAACACAGTAACAAGTGTCACAATGGAGACATTACTGGGCCCGCTTGAGCAAATCGATGAACAACGGGAGGACAATGACAGTGAATAGAAATTTCTTCTTTGAAAAAAGATGTGTCAAAATATGTATGAAACTGTAAAAGACCTGCAATAGCCCAAACAAATCAGCAAGAAAAAAGAAAGATTAAGGCATTAACCCTCTGAGTTACAATAGTATTGAAAAGCAAATAGTGATTAAAACAGTGTTGTTTAGGAACAGAAACAGGTACACATATCAGGAGAAGGGAATCGAGTACCCAGAAAATAAATCCACATATATGTGGATATCTGATCTATGATAGACTAACCAGAGTAGTACAAGGGGGAAAGAATGCCTCTTCAACAAATGGTATTGGGAAAATGTAGCCGCATGCAAAGAAAAAAGAAAGAAAATCACTGGCCCGGAGGAATAGTATAGGGATTAAGGTGCTTACCTGCCTATGACTGACCCTGATTCTAACCCTGCATCTCCTGGAGTGACCCTTGAGCACAGCCAGTGTGTCTGGAAAACTAAAACTAAAAGTTAAAACTTTAATCATTGTTTTAAGTTTTACCTTTTCACTGCTTAATACTGTATGTGAAAATTAACTTTTAAAATGACTTAAATAATTCTATACAAGACCTAAAAACCATAAAAACGTTTATTAATAAAAACGCATGAAACACCCAAGACCTCAGTATCAGGAATGTATTCAGTGAATCGACTCCAATGGCAAGGGAAACAAAAGTAAAAATAAACAAATGAAAATATATCAAATTAAAAGCTTCTTTTAGGGATCCAGAGTGATAGTACAGTAGGTAAAGCCCTTGCCTTGCATATAGCCGACCCAGGTTCCATCTGGTACCCAAAAATGGTCTTCAAAACCAACCAGGAGTGATTAACCTCTGAGCATTCCATGAGTGTGGCCCAAAAACCTAAATAAATAAAAAAAGTTTAAAAGAAAATCTATGTTATCCAGCAATATCACTTCTAGGCATTTATCTCAAAGATATAAAAGCACCAATTCAAAGGAATTTGACTCCCCCTCCTCCCATGTTTATAACAGCGCTGTTTACTGTAACCAAAATATCGAATCAACCTAAATGTCCGCCAACAGATGATTTAATAAAGAAGCTGTGATCTACATATGCATATAAATGGAATTATATATATTATATATGCATATATAATGGAATACAGATGTGTGCACATATATATATAATGGAATGCTGCTCTGCCATTTATAATGATCAAAATACAGAATCAACCTAAATGCCCACCAGTAGATGACTGAATAAAGAAACTCTGAAATATATAGACTGGAAGCTACTTTGCCATTTATAAGGATAAAATTGTTCCATTTTGACAGAAATTGATGAATCATAAGGTAGATTCTGCTAGGAGAAACAAAGTTAAAGATATTTATCAGATGTTTTTACTCTTAAGTGGAATATGAATTACTAAAGAAAATAAAAAAGGAACGACACTAACTATAGTCTTGTTGAAATCTGTGGCAGCTACCTAAGGCAAAGGAGAGATATCTAAGAGTGAGGATACTTGATACACATTTCTTTGTAAATCTAAATAGTGTTACATTGTCTGCATATATCACAACTTAGCTATTCATTTCAGGCATACATTTACATTGCTTCTGAATTTTGTCATGTATGAGTAAGGCTATTATTAACATTTACATGCAGATTTATTTGTGGATATAAATTCCTGGTTCCTTTGAGTAAATTCCTAGAGTGAAGTTGCTGGAAGGTATGGTACATACATGTTTAGTTTTATAAGAAATTACCACACTGTTCCTCTGTGTGACTGTACTAGTTTTCATTCATACAGAATTGAATTAAGAGTTCTTCCTCCAAAAAAAAAAAATTTAAAAAAAGAATTCTTCCTTCATATATGCTCACCAAGTAGAAAAAATGGTCTTAAAGATAGAGTTCCTTAGAAATTTTGTATAATAGTCTTTTATCACATCTGTCTTTCAGAAATATTTCTTGGGGCCAGAAAGATAGTATAGCCAGTAGGGTGCTTGCCTTGCATGCAGCTGACCTGGGTTCCATCTTTGGCATTCCATGTGGTCCTCCAAGCCCTCCAGGGCTGATTCCTGAGCACAGAGCACTGAGTGTGACCCAAAACATAAAGTATTTCTTCCTGGTCTGTGATTTATCTTTTAGTTTGCTTGATAATTATCTTTAACTGTCTTTAAAAAGAACGGAAGTTTATTTTTTTTTAAACGAAGTTCTGCCTATCAGTTATTTTCTTTTTGTGGCTTATGTGGTATAAAATGGCTAGAGTGGACTGGATGTAGCTATTTCCCTATCCTAGTCAGTTCAACTCTGACAGTATCTCAGCAGGTTAGGTTCAGGATAACTAGTTTTTCTGAAGGCAAAACTTGTTAATATTGTTTTCATTTTTTCTAAGAAGTTCATTAAGAAAAATTAGTTCACATAGGAATTTTAATAACCATCATTAATGAGCTCCCATATGCTAGCATTTAAACCCTGCTTTGTCTGAATGCAAAATCTATGGGATAGAGAAATGTATAAAATGCTCTATCAGATTATCTGACATGTTTGAAAATGTGCTTGCTAATAAGAGACCTGTCATCGAATATCAGCTCTCTGACTCATTGAGCCACTTACCCTTGATTTGTAGAGGGGGAAATGTCATACTAGAATAATGATTCTTTCTACTTTTCAAACTAGAATATTTTACTTTCCAAAGCATACACACACACACACACACACACACACACACACACACACACACACACACACACCTCTTCATCTCCCTCATACCACCCCCTTTCCCTCTCATGTTATTTGCATATTTCTTTAAATAGAATTGAAAAATACATACTTTCAGCAGATAGATAAAACTTTCTGTAGCTGAACGTGTAGATTCTAATTATCAAGCACCAAAAACTTGGTACACTTTGTGTGTGTGTGTGTGTGTGTGTGTGTGTGTGTGTGTGTGTGTGTGTGTTCATGTCTGTTTAATCTCTGAGCAGCTAGGGAAATCCCTAGGCGCCCTCCCTCGCTCCCTGTGTTTGGTGGTCTTGAATCATTTTCTCACCCGGGACAGCTGATGCTATAGGCAGATGAAGGAGGAAACAAGGGCCAAGCTCATTGGTGATCATTTGCTGTTTATTCCTTTCTCCCCACGCGCCTGTTCCAATCTCACTAAGCTCCCCAGTCTCACACGGCCCCTCATTCCCATCTCCTTCTGTCTCAACTGCTCATCTCTCCAAGCTCCCTCTCGCAGCCACGTCTCTCGTCTCTCCATGTGCGTGGTCTCGTATTCTTCCCCTACATCTATCCCCCTTGCTAGTGTTTCCAAGCTCCATCTTGCTGCCTGGTCTCTCTCTAGTCTCTCACCAACTCCCAGCATTGAGAGTAGACACCACAGCCCCCTCCAGTAGCAAAATCAACATATCAAAAGCCCTTCCTGATCACCCATCAAGCTCAAGGGAGGGAAATATCATATAGGGGTGTTTCTCCTCTACTTAGTCCAGTAATTTAATTAGCATCTTATTCTACTTCTTAATATTAGTTATTTTGTATGGACCCAGTAAGAGATACATTGAACTTTTAGGGTGGCTCTCCTGGGGACATCTCACTATAGATCTCAGACTACAGTGCTCAGGCCAAAATAATTTTTTCTAACCTTAGCAGAGTCCTGGTCTAGCTGTTTCTTTTGGGATCATGAAAGAATTTGTCCATTACCATGCTCTTACAGTTAAGTACTATAGCACTTTGGCCTGGCCCATTTCGATGCAAGCTTTCCCTGATCCAAGCCCTAATCCGGACCCTACTTTTGAGATGCCAGGAAGTAAGGACAACTGAGGCTTAAGTTGAGTAAACAGATGCTCAGGAGTGAATATCATTCAGAGTCAGTTACCTCCCAAGTTACAAAAGCATAGCATTAACTGTCTTCCTGTGTCTAACCAAAAAGGACATTGCTCTGAATTAACTATGCAAAGGACTTAAGGAGAAGAGACAAGCAGTATTTACAAGTTAACGGAGTCTGATCAGGAGACAAAGGTGATTAGACCAGTTGGGGAAGCAGAGCACAAAGAAAGAAGTTACAAGTAAACATAGAGGAATGGGAGCACTGTGATGGGAGTAACCCAATAAACCTAAGCTCCCTGTGGCAAGGCGGAAAGGACAAACCAGTGTTATCCTACACATATATGTATAGGATATGTGTAGGATTCATATATACATACTTATATTTTACATATATACATACTTAAATTTTTCTGTAGTATAGTTTTTATAATTTCTTAGTTTTCTATTTTTACCTTTTTAATAAATATTTTAATACCCTACTCATGATCTTTTTATCCAGGTTGAAGATTGTAAAAATTTCTTTTAAGTGCAAGCAGTTTTTTATTCAACTTAGAAAAGAATTGGTGAGTATTGACCTATTAATTACTAACATGAGTGAAATCTTAAGAAATGACTAGCCATGGGGCAGGGGTTGGTGTAGAGATGGTACAGTGAGTAGGGTACTTGCCTTTTACATGGCTGACCCAGGTTCGATCCCTAGCATACCATGTGGTCCCCAAGCCTGCTAGAAGTGATGCCTGAGCACTGGATATGGTCCAATAAAACAAAAAAAGAAATGATTAACAACAAAACGTTTAGTGCATGAAAATGTTACTAATATTCTTGATAACTGCTGAGTTAATTCACATTTTATGATTGAATGTTTTAGATCCCCACTATTTTTCTGTGATTCAAAATTTTTTGGTTGTTTATGGAGGGAAGCACACCTGGTAGTGCTCTGGACTTATTCCTGCCTCTGCAGTCAGAAATTACTCCTGGTAAGGGTGGGGACCATATTGATTGACAAGGTTTGGACCTACATTGGTTTTGAGCAAGGCAAGCATCCTACCCACTATACCATCTTCGGTCCATGTTTGTAATTTTTCAGTTCTTCTAAATATCTGTTTTGCTGTGTTGCGAACTTAAAAAAATTGATTTCTCAATTCATTGTCTATCTTCAATCAGTTCATGAAGGCAGTGACTGAGTAATTTGTTTGTACCCTTTTGTTCTTTCCCAAAGAAAGAAAAACATAGCACTTCCTTTCATATACAAGCTCATTTCAGTTTAGAAAAATCTCAGTGTTTACTTTCATTTCTAGTTCATGAACAGATTGCCTGCCTTTGTTGTGGTATTGTCTCTTCTATAAATGTATTGTAACAAATTGGGTTTTCATGGAAAATATTGTAGAAAGGAGTTTATCTTATTAACTGTTTTTTTTAAAAATCAAATTAGCCTTATGCATTTTTTACAAAATATTTACATTATTTTGTAGATAGCTTGAAATTTCAAGGTATTTGTTTATGTATGTGAAATGTTTATTCAAACTTTGAAAAAGGTACTTGAGGACTAGGGAGATGGTACAGGAATTAAAGCACTAGCCTTGAATATAGCCAGTCTGGCTCAATCTCTGAGCACCACTATGAGTGACCCCTGAGTACCACAAGCCTCCACTTCCCTCTAAAAAATAGTTTTGAATCCGCTGTATTTTATAAGGAGATATTAGGTTACAATAACTGATAATTTATCATTGATGCCCAAAAATTATAGTATTTTTACAAGGCAGTTTAAATAAAGCAGCACATATTTAGAACTATAGTTTGAAAAATATATAATGTAATATGTAGCATATTAGAAGCTGACATAATGGATAGAAACTTGTATAGTAGATAATTAAAACTGACCTGCCATTCAGTCAACAAAAACATTAATTTTGTTTACACCGTCATGATTAATTTGCTCATATTTGTACTATATAAAATGAAATTATGATGAAAACTGCAGAGATAGTACATGCCTTGCATGCTGCCAACCCAGATTTGTTACCCTGGCACCCCATGTATTCCCCTGAGCCCTGTTAGGAGTGAACCTTAAGCATAGCCAGGTGGCCCCAAAACCAAAAATAATAATAAATTAAATCATGCAAAATATTCTACTTTGGTTTGCCTTATTCCCTTAACATTGTGAGATTCATCTATTTTGTTGCATGTGGCAGTAATAGTTTACTCTATTACTATATGATGTTATACTGAAAGAATATCATTTTATAAATTCTTATTGTAGCAGATAATTTTGCTTTCTCCATGTTGTGGTTTATGTTGAATATAATGTTCTTTTACATGTTCAATAAATGTTTAGTAGAATAATAGGCAGCTGAATCAGAAAGCTAAAGATCATATATTTTACTTTAAAAAATATGTAGAAGTTAACTTTTGTAATTTGCTTCCCCAAATAGTACCAGTGTTACTAGCAATAATAATAGTTATAGTTTCTAACATGTACTTAGATAAATACCTGATAATGTATCAGTGATATTTATATAATTTCATCTTCACGCCCATTTCCTGAAGTAGTATATCATTAGTGATATATTTAACTACATGTAACATTGGTATTAAAAGTCATCTAGGGGTAATTATAAGAAATGAAAAAAAAAAGTCATCTAGGGGCTGGAGCAATAGCATAGTGGGTAGGGCATTTGCCTTGCACGTGGCCGACCCAGGATCGATTCCCAGCATCCCTTTTGGTTCCCTGAGCACCATCAGGAGTAATTCATGAGTACAGAGGCAGGAGTAACCCCTGTGCATCACTGGGTGTGACCCAAAACGCCAAAAAAAAGTCATCTAACAGTTGATTAAAGATGTATCCTAACATACTCTGTAGAACTTTGCTTACAAATATTTTCTTTCTGTTTATCAAAGTAGGACGTTTGCCTTGCACGCAGCCCACATGGCCGACCCGAGTTCAATTCCTCCGCCCCTCTCGGAGAGCCCGGCAAGCGACCGAGAGTATCTCGCCTGCACGGCAGAGCCTGGCAAGCTCCCCGTGACGTATTTGATATGCCAAACACAATAACAACAATGGAGACTGGGCCCGCTCGAGCAAATCGATGATCAACGGGAGGGCCTTTACCATGATCAAAGTACATGTTTAAGATCATAAAATAATTCATGCATCATATAACCATACACATATTTGGTTGTATATCCATTGCAGTCCAAATATATTCTAGTGACTTAGACACTTCAGAAATAAACATATCCACATGACCAGAAATATGAATATTTTCCTAACATGGTCTTCACTTTTGGTAGCTTTTAAGTTTTATTAAGGGCAAAACTTCAGAGGATAATAGACTTGAAGACGCTCTAATTATCTCCATCTATGAAAATTTTTAAAGGACAATTAAGAATACATTATACCTCCTTTATTAATCATCTTGAAAAGTAAAAAATTACAACCATTATACAATAAAAAGCACATGCACTAGAGTAGTGAAACAATTTATAAACCATAGTTGGTGATGTAACAACACTGTTGATAGGGAGGAAACATCTGTTTTTGAAAGTTGTAAACTTACAAGTTTACATATATCTTATGTTTACAAAGTTGTGAGCTTATTTTAGAAACAAAGCATAAGTTACACATCAGACAGCATATAGGAGCATGATATATAGAAGCAGTTTTTATATAGTCAAACTAAACTTCAAGTACATAAATAAACTGATTATTACATAAATATATAACAGAATATTATGCATATGTAATATTTTATATTGGTAATGTGTGTAAACAGTTTGGTATATTATAAACATATCAGTATAAAAATTTGTAGAGGAAAAAATTTTCAATTCTTCAATACCACATGAATGAGTATATAAACTTAATATTTCATGACGAAAGTCAGGCCTAAAGGCAACATATGTATGATTCTAGCTATATAAATTCTACATTCTATCTATCTATATCTATCTATCTATCTATATATACATATATATGCATACTGGGCTGGAGTGATAGCACAGAGGTAGGGCGTTCGCCTTGCACGAAGCCAGCCCTGCTGAGCCGGGTACAATTCCTCCGCCCCTCTCAGAGAGCCTGGCAAGCTACCGAGAGTATCTCTCCCTCACGGCAAAGCCTGGCATGCTACTCGTGACATATTCGATATGCCAAATACAGTAACAACAAGTCTCAAAATGGAGACATTACTGGGCCCGCTCGAGCAAATCGATGAGCAACGGGAGGACAGTGCTAATATACTATATATTCTATCTATAAGTTCAAAAACAGGCACAAATAATTTATGGTGATAAATGTCAGAAGAATGTTTACCTTTGCAAATGTATTTTTGTAGAAAGATCAAAGAGCTAGTAATGATTCATTTCTTGATCTGACTGGATTTAATGATGGGATGCAGTCCTTATGTAAGAGAGTTATGCTGTTAGAACATGTATACCTTGCTGTATATAGTTTAATGGAACTTTTTAAATACTAATTTAACAGACTTCTGGTAATAAATAAGTGTTTTTATTTTATTGCTACACGTTTCAGAACAGAATTATACCTAATAAAATTTGCAAACATTTACATCAATTTTTAAACATTCATAACTATGATAAACTTTTTGCTGTAAGTTTCTGCCAGTTGTAATGTTACTGAAAGAGGTGTCATATTTAGTCATTTTATAGCTTACTTTTTTGGACAAGCCAAAAAGATGTTAATATTTATAAGGTTAAGATATTTGTGAAAAGTACATAAAGTGGAGCATTATAATGATCCTAATCTTTTCCCTGTGTTTGTCCTTTATTACAGCATGAATCTAGAGAAACATTATTGGGGTTTAATATGGTGAACTACAGAGCATGCAAAAATCTGTGGAAAGCATGTGTAGAACATCACACATTCTTTCGTTTGGACAGACCACTTCCACCTCAAAAGAATTTTTTTGCACATTATTTTACATTAGGTTCAAAGTTCCGGTACTGGTAAGTGTTGCTTAATAAACATTCCTTATTGTTGCATTTTCCCCTTCCTTTAAAACTGAAAACCCTAAACTTACTTATCCTGCTTCCCACTTTGTAGTCAAGTTGTTTATGTGGGCTCTTTCTTCCTTCCTGAGAAGTGCTTGCAGAGCTATCAATTTTCCCCTTAAAACACGGCTTTAGCTGTATCCCATAGGTTCTGGTACCTCCTGTCTTCATTCTCATTTGTTTCCAGGTATCTTTTGATTTCATTCTTGACTTCCTTCCTGAACCACTCATTGTTCAACATTGAGTTGTTTAATTTCCAGGTGTTTGATTTGGTTCTCCGTGTTTGTGATTCACTTTTATTCTCAGTGCATCGTGGTCTGAAAGGATTGTTGATGTTACGTTTATCTTCCTGATTCTATTGAGGTATGTTTTGTGGCCTAGCACATGGTCTATTTTGGAAAATGTACCAGGTGCACTGGAGAAGAATGTGTGTTCTTTCTTTCTGAGGTGTAAAGCCCTGTATAGGTCTATATGCCCTCTCCTATTTCTTCCTTCAAAGCTCAAAGCCAGTGTTTCCTTGCTGAGTTCTGTTCTTGTTGATCTATCTAGAGGTGATAAGGTGATGTTGAAGTCTCTGGCTACTATTGTGTTGCTAGCAATGTCCTCCTTAACATCTGTTAGCAGTTGTTTTAAATACTTAGCTGTTCCCTCATTAGGTGCATATACATTTAAGAGTGTGATTTCTTCCTGATGTATGTATTCCTTGATGAATAGACAACGGCCTTCGCTGTCCCTTCTAATCTTTTTCAACCTGAAATTTATGTTGTCGGATACTAGTATGGTCACCCCAGCTTTTTTGAGGCAGCCCTTTGCTTGCAGGATTGTTTTCCATATTTTAACTTTGACTCTGTTTTTCTCTGATTGTTCGGATAAGTTTCTTGTAGGCAGCAGAATGTTGGGTTCTGTCTCTGAATCCATTTTCCCACTCTATGTCTCTTAATCGGTGAATTTAGACCTTTGACGTTGAGAGAGATTATTGTTATGAGGTTTTGTATCATCTTTCTGTAAGGGTCTGTTTTGCTTGTAGAGTTTGTCTTGTCTTATAGTAGCCCCTCTAGCCCTTGGTCTCTTGCCACTGTTTGTTGTTGCCTGTTGACTTGTTGCAGCTGATCTACCAGCTCACTGATTCTGTCTTCAGCTGTGGTCATTCTACTGTTGAGGACACAGACTTTTTTATTTCATCTATGGAACCTTTTATTCGTGACATTTCTGTGCATAGCTTTCCAATTTCTGCTCTCATTTCTCCTGGATTTTCTCCATTGTCTGATCCATTGTTTCTTTCATGTCCTCCTTTAATTTACTGGATATGTGTCTCACTGTTTCATTGAGTTCATTGAACATCTTCATTACTTCATATCTGAATTCTTTCTCAGAGAGGTCACTTTGGTGAGTACCTACTGAGACTTCTGGGCTCTTTTCATCGTTTTCCCCACGTGGTGAGGATTTGCATTGTTTCTTCATGTTGGGTGTGGAAGTTTGGAGACTGAGATGTTACTTGAGATTGTTGGGTATGAGTAGATTACCTGCCACAGTGAGCGTTTGCCCGCCCAAAATTAGACCACGCCCCCTTCTTTAGAGGCCACGCCCCCTATGTGTACCTGGTGTGTGGGGTGGGGGTACGACGTAGGGGAGGAAGGAGATTGGAACAGCGTTGTGGGAAACAGGAAGAGGCTCAGGGATGGTGAGCGTCCCAGGGTCCTAGAGGACACCTGGGGCATGTACGCAGAGAAAGCTAAGTACCGGGTTCAAATACTGGTGGACTAACTGACCTGGGGGAGGAAGAAGATCGGCACAGTGTTGGGGGTGAACAGGAAGCGGCTCAGGGATGGTTAGTCTCCTAGGTCCTAGAGGATGCCTGGGGTGTGTACGCAGAGAAAGCCAAGTTCTTGGTTCGAATATTGGCGGACTAACTGACCTGAGGGAGGAAGAACTAAAAGTCAAATTTTCAGTTAATAAATTTGGTCTGAACAAATCAGTGTATCCTTGAGGGTTTGGTTCTTATGCATAAATGGTATGTTTGTTAGACAAATTACTTTCAAGACAAATTCCAGCTTTATTTTTTTTAACCACATGCAAAAATCTGGAGTTGCCTATATCTCCAGATGGAAGAGAGGAGGGTGTAGCAGTCTTTCTAGGTATAATCATTATAGGTCAGGGAAGAAAAGAACAGCTTTTCAATCAAGATATGGCATTCTTCAGACCCTCCAAATAAAATTACTAGAGACACTATATAAACCACAAGCCTAAGGAGTGAAGACAAGACTTTGATTAGCTTGGACCAAAGTATCTCTGAGTCTAGAGAGAGGGCTTTTCTAGAGCATAGTAGAAGGAATCATAGGCAAAATTACTCCTGTCATATTCTCTCTCAAATAAAGAAGCATCTGAAAAGTTCCTGTCAAACATGTTATCTTTATTCATTAATGGAAGAACTAATTGAACTTACTTTAGGTAGAACTGGAATGTATCCATTGTTGCCACTTTCCCCTGTTTTTGTTTGTCTGTTTGTTTTGGGGCATACCTAGCAATGCTTAGAGGTTACTCTTGGCTCTGCGCTAAGGAATTACTCCTGGCGTACTCAGGGAACCTTATCGAATGCCAGGGATCAAACTCAGGTTGTGCAAGGGAAGTGCCCTATCCATTGTACTGTTGTTCCAGCCCTGTTGTTACTTTTCTTAATCACTCTTTTCAGTCTTAGAAATGTTTGTCTTGGGGACTGGAGCTGTAGTATAGTGGGTAGGGCGTTTGCCTTGAACTGGAAGTTCAGTCCTTGGCATCCTATATGGTCCCCCAAGCACCACCAGAAGTAATTCTTGATTCCAGAGTTCAGGAGTATGCTCTGAGCACTACTGGATGTGGCTCCAAAACCAAAAAAGGAGAAGAAGAAATATGTGTCTTTTATAAATTTATAATTACACTATTTGTTGTCATTTTATCTTGAAGTTTTCTTTAAGATGATTTTTGCTATTAACTTCTGTATTTCAGTGGGAGAACTGAAGTCCAGTCAGTTCAGTATGGCAAAGAAAAAGCAAATAAAGACAGGGTGTTTGCAAGGTAAGCCTCATCTATTTTTATTTTGGCTTATTGTGTCTTATTTTTGGTGGAGGGATTGTTTTAAAGTGAGATTATTTATTTATATCTATATTTGTATCAATTATGCAGGATAGTGATTCAACATTTTTATATGTTGATAAATGATTACCACAATAAGTCTTAATAGCAAGAGTTGGTTCAAATTGTAGCGAACATGCCTCACCTTTAGAGAAAGGCACCGAGCACCACATAGTCCCACCCCTCGTCCCCTCAAACACCCAAGACATAGCCCAGGTGCTCCCTTAGCACTTCCGGGTATGACCCTAGTAGGTCCCCAAACAGCAGTAAGTGTGACCCCAGGCTCCCAGCACCACTGGTAGTGGCTCATACAAAAGCAATACCCCCCCCCCCCCCCAGTTTTCCTTTATTCCTTCAGCCAATTGTACAATAAAATATTAACTAGTCACCATGAAATCCTCGTTGGATTTTTCTTTTACTTTGCTGCATTCTTCACATAGACACCCACGCAGCTGTACACACACACACACACACACACACACACACACACACACGCACACACACGCACTCCCTGTCCCTATTCCATTGAGTGATAGCTGCCATGGACACAGTCTCAAGGCAAGGATGGAGGAATCAAGGGTTTTCTCTTAAAACCAGCTCCCAAATCTTAGCCTCACAGCATGGTGGACGACCTGTGAAAGAGCTAACCACTGGAGTTTTTTAAATGAACAATTAAAATTACTGAAATTAAATTTTTTTTCCCAAACTGCTACAAAATTACCACTTTGATGAGGATCCTGTCTTTAAAAAAAACAAAAGTTATGTTGAGGAAATAATGAAGTAGTTTATCTAATTCTTTCATTTTCCTTTCCAGTGCCCAGGGCTTACTCCTTGTTGGGCTCGGGGGATCAGGGGGATTGAACCCCAGTTGGCCAAATGCAAGACAAGCACTCTACCTGCCACACTATCCCTCTAGCCTCCATTGGTTTTACTTTTCAGATGAATGAAGTTAACCCTGTGCTGAGTACTTTATCTCCAGCTCAGTTGTGTCAAATATTGTGTTTTGTAAATAGCATTTTGTTCAGTGTTTTATTACAATTTTAATAATATGCTGCTTTATTTCATATATCATTCAGCACATTTCCATATTTCTTTAATTCATACTAAGAAATATTATGATTTTTGTGTATTTTGTTTTGGGGCCACACCTAGTGGTTCTCAGGGCTAACTACGCTTTGCAATCACTTCTGGCCAGTTTTTATGGGATTGTTTTTATAGTCTGGAAATCTTTCTGAGATAAAGTGTGTGTCTACCAAAGTATTAGAAAATTCTAGAGTTCTTGTCACTTCTTGGAATTTTAATTTGCAGCATTAGTGGATAGAAAATACTTCTCTTTAAGGTAAGGATGCATTTGTCTCATGTGTGGCTAGGATGGCCTTAGTCCTGATTAAAATCTCCAACACCATAGATGGTTCTTGAGCACTGCCAGGGTCACTACTGAGCAGAGAGTCAGAAAGAGCCTCAGAACACACTGGGTGTGGCCCAAAAACAAAACAGAAAGGTTTTTCCTTATGTTTGATTTTTTTTTCAGCAGGTAAGAGATTATTTTTCTCATGTCAGTGTTTTGAATTTCTAATATTTTCAGTTGTCGTGTAGTATTTGAAAAGAAAGCAAAAGAATGTTCTCATGGAACAAAAAAATAAGAGTATCATGGTCAGAAAATAAATATACCACATTGCAGACCTCTGATGATGTGTGGTATTTTTTTCTCTGTAATTTCCACACTTAACAGGAAACAGAGATAGCAAACTTCAGTGGGTGGGTCTTTGAGGTTAAAACTGTTAATGAAATCAAATGCCTGAAATTTAGTTTTAAATGTAAAGTGTTTTCAGTCACGTTTAATAGAACAGTAAATTTTTCTGATACTTCATACTAGGTAAGTGTACTTTATTTTTTCCTCCTTCAAATGACTTTTTCTCTGTCTCAGAAAATGAAAGTACTCAACTTTCTACACTATTTTGTTACTGAACTCTCTTTGAGTTTATGTTCACTATTCTTTATATATAAGGAATACATATATATCATATATATAAAGAAATACATTCTTTATATAAATAAGAAATAAAAAGCAGCATTAAGAATTAACATGAATAAAAAGCCAAAAATGCTAAAGATTTCTTCAAAACTCTTCTTTGAAAAATCTAATACATGAAATAATATGCTTTATTTTCATTTTATTGTGATTAGTATGAGAAAATTGTTATCCTGAATTGTCTTTAAGTCAAAATATCCGATGATCTAAGCTCATAACAATAACAAGAAATTTTATGCTTAAATTATGTTGAGTTGACTATTAAAAGGAAATTTAAATTTGTTTATTTTTAGTCAATAATACTATATCTTTTAGAAAATGTAATATCCTTAAATTTAGGAAATGTCATTAAACCAGACTGAAAATGTTTTGGCTATGAATCTTGAAATAATAGGGCACTTGTGTGGATTGAGTTTATAATTAACTTCAGTTGTGGTTTAGTAAAATTAATAGACTAAAATATTGCACTGAAAAATTAGATACTCAACTCACAAAACTCAGAAGGTAATGAACCCTAAGAATCCTAAGTTATAGATATTAAATAAACTAAAATATATAGATATTTGATCGATTATAGAACTCATGTTCCTTACTCATTTTAAACTACCTATTATATATATAATTATTTCATATTTTCATGTTCAGTATACTTTTGTGAGTTGGTTACTAAAATATAAAACTATTTAAAGATGATTTAAGTAGAAGAGTTCATTATGTTAACCTCTGCATTATTAACCTATATAATTCTGTATTTACATATCTCATATGATTTACATGAGTTTTGGCCATTATCTGAATTTGCATATTGAAAGAAAACTTTAGTTGTTCATTTAAGAGTTTTTTTAAGACTCTGCAAACACCAGTGTCTTAGGAAAAAAACACCTAGTTCTCACCTTATCATTAGATTGCTGACTGTAGGTAGATAGGCGATAAAATATATTTTCCAGCTCCCAACTTGAGATGGACTAGTTAACTTAAAAGTTTTTTTTTTAATTTTTAATTGAATCGCTATGAGATGCACAGTTAACAGAGTTGTTCGAGATTGGGTTTCAGTCATACAATGTTCCAGCACCCATCCCTTCACCATTGCATATTTCCCACCACCAGTGTCCCCATTTTCCCTCCTGCTCCCCTGCCTGTCCCGCAGCCTGCATCTTTGCCAGACACTTTAGTTCTCTCTCCCTCTCCCCTTTCCCTGCCACCCCACCCCATTTGCCCTCTCTCTCTCTCTCTCCCTCTCTCTCTCTCTCTTTCTCTCTCTCTCTCTCTCTCTCTGTTCTCTCTTATTTTTCTTCTAGGCACTGTGGTTTGCAGTGTTGTTACTGGAAGGGCATCTAAAAGGGTATCATGCATATCACTGCCTCCTTTCAGCACTTAGTTAACTTAAAAGCACTTTTTAAGATAAGGAGGAGGGCGGCAACATGTCTACCATTTATCAAAATAAAGTATGATATATTTATCATTATTATCCTGACCTCACTGGAAGAGAGGGTAAATTTTAATTTAATAGCATTTAAGAGATAATTTTTTTAGAAATTATGTCATACATCCCAGGATAAACTAGAGCTTCAGAAACTGCAATACAAATATTCAGTATATAATATTGATAATATACAAGAAAACTTTTATTAACCAACCACTCCTTGCTTTTCTTGTTTCTTCTTTTTCTTCTCTATTCCTAGCCTCTTTCCTTCTTTCTTTCATATAAAGTAAATGTACGTTCTCAGTACATTCCTTCAAACGCACTAATTTCTTATCTAGTAATGTCATTTTAAAACGTTGTGCATAGTTGAAGTATAAAATTTTAAATTTCGGCCCTTGGAATAGACTCGGTGGTAGAATACCTGCTTTGTATGTGGCAGGCCATAAGATCGTTTCCCAGCACTGCACCATATGCCATGTACCTCAGTAAGTATATGATCTTTGTTGCACTACGGTTAAGGTGTGTTGCAAGAACCACAATTATAACATACCCCTCAGTGTGCATCTCAGTCTATGTACAAGTACCACAACCAAGTGTGTCCCCTGATTATCACAGTGACAAAGAGAAGGAAGTGGGGAAATGAACAAATTAAGACTATATAAATTAACAAGAATTTCATTGTACATATTTAAACTATTTTGCAGATCCCCAAGTAAGCCATTGGCGCGGAAATTAATGGATTGGGAAGTAGTAAGCAGAAATTCAATATCGGATGACAGGTTAGAAACACAAAGCCTTCCATCCCGATCTCCACCTGGAACTCCTAATCAGTAAGTACATACAAATATCAGCTATACATTTCATTGTTTTGTGAATTATTGCCAGATCTGAATATGTAAAAATTTTTATATACGTATTTTTACATTTTTATTATGACTTGTGGCATCTGATAGGCATCCTTCACTAAGCTCAAAATGTTTCTTTTTGAATATGTAAAATATAAATCTTTGGTGAGGCATGATTTTGTTGTGCCAGATGTTATGTCCTCTTAGCTGCAGCTCACTGCATAAGTAGCATGGAATAGCTTTCTTTGGGGAGGAGAGCATTGAACGAGTTCGTTCACTTTCCTGCACAACTGACCTTCATAGTAAGGGTCTCTAGCCAATTAATAATGACCTTCTAATAGACCGGAAAGTTGTTGACTTTATCTCTTTACAGCACAAGTTTTTAGTAGAGCATTTATTTGGATATATTAAATTATTGTGATGATCTTAATAGAATGGTTACCACAACTATTGTTCTCCCACTTTCTGTGGCATAGCAAGTGGGATTTCTGTGGCTAGATACCATGTGCCTAACTCTAAGTATGATGAAATATAAAATAACTGTACTGAGAAACACTATTATTCAGCATTTACTATAGATACATTTAATGCTATTATGTCTCACAAAAGTTATATACTTTGCTGTAAAAATAGTAAGTTAATTTTATGCTACCCAAAGATACTATCTTCTTTGGGGGAAAAAAGTCCAGAAACTCTTCTTCTAGTCCTTTTTCTACCTAGCCATTTCTTCATATGTTCCCAGTACTGCTAACAAATTTAGCTAGTTATAGAAGAGAATTAAGCTAGATGATTTGTTATTTCAAATGATTGACTTCATTGGCATTGTATATGATTAAATATTTTGGTTCATAAAACACTTTTAGTATGATCTGAAGAAATTCCGTGTTTTTAATTCCAAAGTGACATTACATGTTTGTGATTAACAACATAATCCCTGGTTCCTACATGTTTAGACTTTGAAGAAATTAGTATCTTTGCCAAAGTTTCCTTACATATGAAATCATATACATTCATATATATATGTTATATATTAAAAATAGTGTCTTGTTGTGCATCGTTAGAGTTAAATGAGGGGACAAATATAAAATGCTTAGATAATGCCCGGCACAGAATAAATATGTATTGCTAGTTACCATAGCTACTAATGGTAATGATAGTCATGTGACTACCACGATGGTATTCAGTATCTAAACTTAGGTCTCTTGAGATATTAGGGTTGTTTTGATATCCTGACTGATTTTCACATGTTCTGTATAGGGCTGGAGCGATAGCACAGCGGGTAGGGCGTTCGCCTTACAAGCGGCCAACTATGGCCGACCCGAGTTCGATTCCTCCGCCCCTCTCGGAGAGCCCGGCAAGCTACCGAGAGTATTCGATATGCCAGACACAGTAACAACAAGGTCTCCAATGGAGACGTTACTGGGCCCGCTCGAGCAAATCGACGATCAACGGGAGGGCCTTTACCTTTACCATCTTTTATACTTAGATTAATGTAGGGGGGAGATTAGAACCCAGCATCATATGCATACAAGCATGCACTCTCCCACTGAAAATGGTCTCCAATCCTCAGTTTCTATTCTTTGAACTTAAGGAGGCCATCAATAATAAAAAACATTTCTCCTACTTCACTTTTTGAACACAAAGTTATAGTGACTAAAACCTAGACACATTAAACCTATTAAGGAAAATAAGTGATTGAATAGATAAAATCCTTGTCCTGGGTTTTTGACTATAGCTCAGATCTCTGGCTTACCATTCTGTTATTTTTGCTTATATCTTACCATCTTTCTCAGAGGCTCAGCTTGTCATTAGTTTTAAAAGCATAAACCTAATTTCTAATTACAAATGTAATTAAGAAGCTAAAAGAATGAACTCTAAAGCATATTTTTACTCCATTGTTTTTCTTCCTCTTCATGTAGTCGAAATTCTGCATTCACCCAAGAGGGAACCCGCATACGACCATCTTCAGTCGGTCATTTGGTAGACCATGTGGTTCATACTTCCCCAAGTGAAGTATTTGTGAATCACAGATCTCCATCCTCAACACAAGCTAATAGCATCATTTTGGAATCATCGCCGTAAGACATTTTCTCATTTAACTTCCTTCTTATACATGCCCCAGATTGCTTCATTTTAAATAATCTGAGAAATTAGGGTTTTTGAACAAGATTTTACTAATGCCATGTTTTAAAATTTTATGTTTGTAAATGTGTTTCTTTATTCCCAGGAATTCTTCATTTCCTGGCTTCTCTTTCTAAGCCCCACCAAAAAACACTAATTATTCTTTTGCAGTTGTGAATGTTCTTAAACTCATAGTACACATACCTTCTATATATTACTATTCTAAAAAATATAATATATCGTACTGTGGTCAGGCAATAAGATAGCATTTTCTTAATAGTTTTCAAGAATGGAACCAAAGGATAGATGACTGTTAGGAAGAGTAAGTAAAAATGGAGAATCATCAGACTGAAAATAAGTTAGAAATGGCAGGGCCATTTCTGATTCATATTTCATGGCATACTGATGAACAAATTCAATTTCATATCCATTTTTTTTTACTTCATCAGGTTCTGTTTGTTTTATTTTGTGTGCATGCACACATACTCCTTCCCATTTTATGCTAGAGATCAAACCCAGGGCCTCATAAATGGGAGGCATGCACTCTACTGCTGTAGTATATCCTAGGTCCCTCTGTCTCAGCATTTCTCAACTGAGAACCCTGTGGGTCTTCAGTTTCCAGGGAGTTCTCAGGTGGAAATTGTGCAAATAGTGACTGCAGCATGAGAGTTGAGGACCAACTAGGAGATGAGTGCCACAGTCGGATAAAGGCTGAGAAGCACTGTCCTATCCACTCAGTTTAGTGTACTAGTTGCTTGCCCTCAGTGTTCATATGCAAATAAAAATACAAAGTGATAATTAGTAAAAGGTTACAAAAAGGGCCAGAGTGCTAGTACAGTGGGTAGGGCTCTTGCCTTGCATGTGGCCGACATGGGTTCGATCCCCAGGATCCCATATGGTCCCCTGAGCACCACCAGGAATGATTCTCGAGTGCAGAGCCAGGAGTAACCATTGAGCATGTCCTGGTGTGACCCAAAAGCTCCCTCCCCCCCCCCAAAGAAAAGCGAGATACATAGATAAGAAGATGCATTAATTATGAGGAGAAAGGTGTGTAAGACATACACCTTTAACATGACCAGGGGTAAAGAAAGCTTCATGCCATGTCCCTTAGAGCACCACTAGCAAGATCCTCAAGCACTGTGGCAGGAGTATCCTCCAAGCAACTCCAGTGTGTCCTAATTGGAGGGGGCAGGAAGAGTAGATAATAGGATGCATAAAAAAGCAGTTCTAGGATGTGTATATACTAAAGGGCTGTGGTGATCTGTCTCTCGCCCCACCCATGTTCGCTGGTCTCTGCCACTTCCTCCATCCTGGAGAGGCCGATGGCGATGGGCAGGTGATAGGCAGGTGAAGGAAGGAACCGGGACCAGGCTGGTTGGTATCAATTGCAGTTTATTCCAATCTCCTCTCCATTCTCCTCTGATTCTCCTTCTGTTTCTGTCTCTCTCTGGATTACCCCCCAGCTACTCTTACAGCCTAGTTTATATAGAAATCATGTAGGGTGGGGATACAAAGGTGGAATTAAACATTAACAGATCATCAAAGAGAGGTAAGACCACTCATTCAGGAGAGTAACTCAAGGATAAAATGCCATCTAAAGAGATTATTCCAGATTACTAGGACAGGATTCCATTCAAGGTGTGTTGCTCTCTTCTTTCCCCAGCTAGTCGTACACTTAAATAGTTGTAGTAAATTTACTAATATTTTATTAGTATTTCTAGCAATATTTCAATCTAATATTTCTAGCAATGTCATTTTGTATGAACACAGTAAGAGAACACGAATCACGACCATCCTGTTATTCGTCGATTGCCTTGAGCAGGCCCCAGTAACGTCTCCTTCATCCTAGCCCTGAGATTTTTAAGAAAGTGCTATATTCAAGGCTCTTCAGGAGAATGAGACCCATCATTGTTACTGGTATTTGGCATATTGGGTACGCCACGGGGAGTTTGCCAGACTCTGCCGTGTGGGCAGGTTACATTCGGTAGCCTGCCAGTTTGTCCAAAGTAGGAATGAGATAATAAGATGTCATAATAAGATTCCGGGAGCTGGTTTTTATAGTCTCTGAGTCTGATTACATGGCGCCAGGGGGCCAGTTGGTGGGTGTGACCCCCGTCTACTGGAATTCGGAGGATCTGGGTGGAGGATGCTCAGCCCGGATCCGAGTAGGCTTGGAGATCTCAGCCCCGGGACCTGCTTGCCTTTGTTCCTCTGCCGGTACCTTCAGGTGTGCGGAGAGTGGTCTCAGCATGGTGGTGGCTGGTCCTGGAGGTCTTTGGCTGCTGGAGCCGTGGTCGGGGCAGGGAGGAAAGCTCGACCTGCTCCGCTCCAAGGGGTCCCAGCGAGGACAGCCAGGCGCGGGGGCAGGAGACTGCACTGTTCTCTTCCGGGAGCTGGTTTTTATAGTCTATAGTCTATACAGTAAGAGATATATCAAGCTTAAAGTCTGGTTCTTCCTGTGGACATCTCATTATATATTTCAGACCACAGTCCTCAAGCCAGGTTAGTCTTCCTATCAACAGGGTCCTTATTCAGTTACATCTTTTGGGTCATGACAGAGTTTGTCCATGACTGTGCTCTTAACTTATAGTTAAGTATTATGGTATGTGGCCTGGTCCATTTCAGTGCCAGGGTAGCTCACAGCTTGCTCTGCGTCCATTCAGTCCCTCGTCGGGACCCTACTTTTGGGGTGGTAGGAACTAAGGGCAACTGAGGCTTTAGTCAAGAAAGCAGATGTCTAGGAGTGAATATTATTTGGAGTTAATTAATTGCCAAGTTACAAAAGCATAATATTAACTGTCTTCCTGTGTCCATACAAAAAGGACATTGCTTTAAAGTAATTTATGCAAAAGATGGGGAAAAGCAATATTTAACTTACCATACAAGTTCAATATCCTTAGAAGGATCTGACCTTACAGGTGGAAACAGTCGTTTGTTGTACTACCTAGAATAAAGTTACCATTTATTAGTAAGATCTATTTACAGTATTAGAAGAAGGAAACCCTTCTTCCCTTAAAATATTTCAGGCAGCAATTAAGCTGTTATTTTCTGAGGGAAGCAATTGTCAAAAATTAACTTTTAAATATTTGAGATATTAATTTTGATAAATGTATACCACAATTGTTAATATATACCAACTATTGTCTAATAAGGAAACATCGGTATTAGATCAAAATAATTACATGAGTACATAAGTAGCTGAGATTTTATTTTTATTATGATATAAATTTCGAAAGGCAAGAATAGACACTATTGCTTTGACTGTAGAATAAATTGCTTTCACTATTTTTGAAGCATTCATAAGAATATTAAGCTAATTTAAAAAGTAGCCTTTTTCCCACTAGCTTGATTGACACTTTTAAAAATTTTTTGCCACCCTTTTTATTTTTTTAATGAATCACCATGAGATAGTTACAGACTTAACAAACTTTCGTGCTTACGTTTCAGTCATATAATGATTGAGTACCCATCCCTCCACCAGTGCCCATTCTCCACCACCAATGTTCCTAGTATCCCTCCCACATTCCCTCCCCCATTCCCGCCCACCTCTATATCAAGCAGATTCCCCTTTTACTCTCTCTCTCCTTTAGGGTGTTGTGGTCTGCAATGCAGGTATTAAGTGGCCATCATGTTCGATCTTTAGTCTATTTTCAGTTCAGTATACATCTTCCATCCCGAGCATCCTTTACTTGGTGGTCCTTTCTCCATCTGAACTGCCTTTTCCCCTAGCATGTGAGGCCGGCTTCCAAGCCGTGGAGCAATCCTCCTGTTCTTGTCTCTACTATCTTTGGGTGTTAATCTCCCATTTTGTTACTTTATATTCCACAAATGAGTGCAATCTTTCTATGTCTATCCATCTCTTTCTGACTCATTTCACTTGCTACCCTTTTTAATATATTTCTCTGTTGACAACAGAATGCAGTAAATATAACTTTTCCTTTATGTTTTTTATTTCCTACTTTTTAGCAATTAAAGATTTGAGAATGTAAGTTATTTGTAACACAACATGGTAGCAGGGCATTGGCACACTTTTAGAATTATATTCCCATTTCCCTTTTTCTTAACATTCAAAAACTTGATCTAGACAGTACTCGGCACAATTTTTTTCCTTTTTAATTGAGTCATCGATTGGGCTGGAGCGATAGCACAGCGGGTAGGGCGTCTGCCTTGCACGCAGCCAACATGGCCGACCCGAGTTCAATTCCTCCGCCCCTCTCGGAGAGCCCGGCAAGCTACCGAGAGTATTCGATATGCCAGACACAGTAACAACAAAGTCTCCAATGGAGACGTTACTGGGCCCGCTCGAGCAATTGAGTCACAGTGAGGTACATAGTTACAAAGTTGTTCATGATTGGGTTTCAGTCATATAATGTTCTAACGCCTGTTCCTTCACCAGTGTACATTCCCCACCACCATTGTCCCCTGTTTTCCTCCGATCTCCACCCTTCCGCCTCTCTCTCTCTCCCCACCCCCATCCCTCTCTTGCGCTCTCCTTCCCACCCCCCTTTTGAGCATTATGGTTTGCAATACAGATACTGAAAGGTTGCAATACAGATACTGAAAGGTTATCGTGTGTATCCCGTTCCTTACTTTCAATACTCAGTTCTTCTCCAGAGTGATCATTTCCAACTATTATTGTCATATTGGTCCCTTCTCTATCTGAACTGCCTCCATCCCACACACACTTTTTTCATGTGGAAAAAAATAGGATCATAATACCTACCTCATAGATTCCTGTGAACACTTAACAAGATACACAGCTTGACGTTTGACTTAGAGAAAGTACTTAGTGGAAGTTAACTGCAGTAATGATGTAACTTCTCTCTCTCTCTCTCTATATATATATATATATGTATGTATATATATATGCAGCTTTAAAATATATTGCCAATCATTATCTGTCCACCTATTTGAAGTAGGGACCTCTGGTTTAACACAGTTTGAGGAATTCTCCCAA